GATACCTTTGTATGAATGACAATGAAAATATCAATATTGCTAAAAAATAATACATATATTTTAAGGAAAAAAATAAATTGCTTAAGAAAGAGACATAGCACACCATTGTATTATGCATATAATTATTTGTCAAATTTAATATTGTAAAATTTAATGAAACATGTTCTAGCTATTTGATTTTGAATTACTAGGTAAAATACTAAATGGAAATGTGTACAATCAATATACCTTTCTGGCCCTTTTGTTACAGCTATATGATAGCTTTCTTTGAAGGTGTAGAGAGAGCTACTAATATTTTTACCTTCATCTACAAAAAAATGAGCATTCTATGTAAAGGGCAAATCTATTAATTAGAGATCCATGCAGCCCTTCTTCTTGGTAGTGTAGTCATTAAATTGATTTTTCCAGTCCGTCATGTAATTGTTCCAGCGGTGGAATCCTGCTTTCCACTCGCGTTCGACCTCATCAATATTTCCTGTAAAACATGGAATAAGTTGCATTAATCTAAACTTTAATCTGTTTGCATTAATTGAAAATGATTTTGCTTATAGAGGGCATTTTCTTCAAGCTTACTGTACAGTCATTTTCATTCTTTATTATCACTTTCTATTTCTACCTGTAAGCTTCAATAAATTTTTAAACATTATCTGACAATGCAAATAAGAATAAACTGTAAAAGAAATATTAAAGTCCATTAAATGATAAAAAGAGTTTATGCTTTATATTATCTTTATTTTCTTTAGCTCCTGTAAGTGTATATAGGTATTATTCTCATTAATTGACTCCATTTTCATTTTTGATTTTATAGACTTTTGGGGGGGAATCAGGAGTTCAACCCAGGACCTGTGCTTGCCACATAGGCGCTGGGCCACTGAGCTGCATCACCAGCCCCCCTGTTTTTGGTTTTAGAGATTCATTCTCACTGGCCTCACAGTTCAGGCTGCCCTCAAACTTCTGACTCATTTCAACAAAACAACTTCATATGTTACATCTTATTTTTGTGTGGGATGCATGTGTGTGTGTGTGTGTGTTTGCATATTTAATATGTGTTTAAATATATAGCAGTGTAATATCTTAAATAAAATTCTTCTATATCCATATTTCTTTTTTTAATGTATTTAGTACAGGGTCTACAGTGTTTCACTACACAAATCAGATTCATAGTGCTTCTCTTGTTTTCAGTTTCCAGAGTGCTGGGATTACAGGAGCGCACCACCACGCTGTCTCAATCGCCATCTCAGAGAGCCCTGGGGAGCAGGGTTGGCATGGCACGCTGGGGATCAAATTATGGTCTTTGTGCTCTGCCTAAGTAGGCACTTTAGTCCATTGAGCTATCTGGCTGGCCCTCATCTATTTTTCTTTCTTTCTTTCTCTCTTTCTTTCTCTCTTTCTCTCTTTTTCTCTTTTTCTCTTTCTCTCTTTCTCTCTATCTTTCTTTTGGCAGAACCGGGGATTGAACTCAGACTCTTGTGCTTGTCAGACAAGCGCTTATTCTACTGAGCCATCTCCCTGGCCCCTTTTTAAAAAAAAAAATTTTTTTTGGGGGGGGGACCAGGGATTGAACTGAGGTCCTTGTCCTTACCAGGGAAATGCTTATTCCACTAAGCCATCTCTCTGTCCCCTGGCCCTTATATTTCGTAATGTACAGAAGTTCCACATATCCTGCCCTCATTACACTGTATGTTTAGTTTTCAGGTGCCTAGCCTGTGAAAACAGTTTAATAATTGCTTTAGAAAAGGGCAAGATGGCTCAGATCTGATTCTGATCTTATCTATCATCAAACAATTTGCAAATATGTGTTAGTGGAAAGTAATGTTCAGCAAGAGCTATTATGAAGGAGTGAGATGAAAAGGAGGTCCTCCTACTTCAAGAACCCTGAAATTTTTCTTTTTCTTTTTTCTTTTTTTTTTTTTTTTTGAGAGAGGGTCTTGCTATGTACTCCAAACTGGCCTTGAACTCACTATGTGGCCAAGGTTGACCTCAAACTTGGAGCAATCTTGCCTCAGCCTCCTGAGTGCTGGGATTAGAGGCTTGTACCACCATACCCAGCATGAAATCTGATATATTTGCAAGCATATTATCTTAAAGATTGTGAACACTAGAAATCCTAAAATTAGAAACTTAAATCATATGCTTAAGTTTCTGATATAAGCAGATATAACGAGACTAGAAGATGATTCACTTATTTAAATCTTTAAGCATTTCATGCATTTCTAATTCTCTTACCTTTTTATTTTTAAAGGTACTGAAGTACACTCATTAAGTTAAAAGCAAAATTTTAGTTTTCTGCACTGTCTTGAAAATAGGAGTTGGCAGAAGTTTGAATTATATAACTCAGTTTAGAATTTTTAAAAGAGGTAAATGTGTAGGAAATTAATTTTAAAAATAATATAGTCATCCAACTGAGAACTATACGAATATCAAATTGTTTAAAACACTTCTATAACCATTAAAATATTACTTATTATTCAAGATATATTTAAATTTGAAATGTTTATAATGCTTACACTTTTTTTTTCTTTTTGTATTTTAGAGAAGGGTTACAGGGTGTTCAGGGTCTCACTACTAGATCAGACTAATAGTGATCCCCCTGTTTGCAACCTCCAAGAGCATCCCTGGGATTACAGGTGCGTGCCAGCATGCCCCAGGGGCGGGCCAGCATGGCACACCGCAGATCGAACCCACGCTGCTGCACTCTGCCTAAGCAGGTGCTTTAGTCCACTGAGCTATTTGGCCAGCCCCATAAATTTTGAAAATAATACAACTTCAAAAGGATCAAGAGCCATTAAGGAATAAAGATCCAAATATGAAAAAATATTACTTTTAAGGTGTTTTTAAGTGACAATTTAGTATTTCAAATGTTGCACAATAAAAATTTAAAGTTAAAAAAATAAAATTTTTGATAGAGTAAACAAATTATTGCTAATTTAGTATTTAAACTTTGAATATTCATATTTATAATTTATGTCTTTTTTTCTTATGCATGGAATAGTACCAAATCTATTGACACAAATTAAAATTTATTTTGTGTCAAGTATCTATGCAATTTATTCTTTTGAAAATCTTTCTAGTATAAAAATGTTCTTTTAACATGAAGACTTTCTTTTCTTCTAAATGTTGTAAGTACTGATTTATACAATAAAATGTGAGATATTTATTTTCTAATAAAAACCATAAGAAATAAGTAAATGCTAAAATGTTTTGAGAACTCTGAAATGACTCAAAACCATATTTAAAGGATTTTTCTTCCATTTCTTTTCTACCTCTAATCTTCCTTTGCATTTATATTAGCTTTTCTATTACTAACAACATAAATCCTAGTCTGGAGATAGTGTTTTCTTTATTATCAACATTAGCAATATTAGTAATAAGGCCATGTAACTTAATTAAAATAGGGTTACACATTACAAAGTGATTAAGGTTTACTATAAATATTCAATTTATTTAAAATTGGAGGAAAAGGGCCCAGGGAGATGGCTCAGTGGATTAAGTGCTTCCCTGGCAAGAGCATGGGCCTGAGTTCAATCCCGGTTCTGCCAAAAAAAAA